ACTATATTAACATTAAACTATTGAAGTTTATTGAATAATCAGATTTTTTGAATAAAATATTATAAAAAAAAAATTCTAAAAATTTCAAAGTAAACGCGTTTTCCATTTTTATGTTTTGAGAAACAGTTTTTCAGAATGACAAATAGAACACATTTTCAACAATTTCAAAACACAAAATACAAAATGAATTTATAACTCAAAACTGAAACATGAAGAGAACAATCCCTTTGCTCTTTCATATTAACAAGGGGAGAAGTAGCTAATGTGTGGAAATAAGAAATTCAAACGAGTGAAATCATGTCAGGCATGATTTGAGCATTTGATGTTCAATTATCTAATCATTTAAATCCTCATTCAATTATCTAATCATTTCAACTTTTGTTCAATGGGTTTCCTTCGATTATTATTGTGTAAGTAAATTAGTTATTGATGTATTTCCACATTCAAAGAAATTTTATATCTCCACATGGAAAACATTGGAACAAAGGAATATTTGTCTAAATGAAATTTCTGATTCCTGTTTGTGAAGATCTGTATAAGATTTTCGAGAATGGACAAACCTAATGAAGTAATAGAGACGAGTCTTTAATGTTGAGATACAAATAGCGATAAACAAAAGTTAGTACAATAGTGGAAGGATATAACCAACCAATGAATCATAATTAAGTTAGGGGAGCTTGCAACCATAGATGTGCCTGTGAAGTGAGGTGAGTTAATGATTCTGCAGCTGGCGATTACCTGGTTCTGGTGGACTTTTAATCAAATTAATCTATCAATTGTTTCATCATAGCATGCTATACCACATTGGATATTTGTAGGTTTGGGGTGGGGTGGGGAAAATGTAGTAGATAAACAAAAAGGTCAAACTAATTCGAGTAAATCATGTCTTGTGCAAACCAAGTGAGGCACTCCTTTGCTTTGGCTTTCTATAAAATATAGAAAGAAATTTTCCTTTTTAATTGACTTTAACTAAACTCAATTGGCCCTATCTCATAGTTATTTAGGGATGGCCTCATGGATTCTGATTTTCCACTTCCATCAATCAAAGGTCACCTGATAGAATAAACAGGCAAATCCATTTTAATTTATTGCACGTGATTTTGTGTTACCATTAATGCTAGTTTCATTAATTTTCTTAACTTGTTCATAACTTCATCTAGGAGCCTTCGCTGATAATGCCCAAACCATCTCAAATGTTTCTTCCCAGATTTTCTTCAATAGATGACTCAACCAATTCATCAGAGAAGTCATTTAAAATTATTTCTTCCTATTTTACTGAAAATATATATTATTCTCTCCCAAGTTACACTCAAGCTGAATATTTAGCTTCATATAACATAACAAGTATTTTCGTGCTGATAAGTCGGAGGACTTTGTTGCGAAGTTTAACGAGTCTTTTCGGGCTTTTTTGGCACAACGATGTGAATTGTGTCGGTACTTTACTAACGAGCCTTAGAAAAGTTTACTTGACTAT